AGTATGAGATTTATGCATGGCTAAATTAATACATAGATAAAAACATAAAGAAATGTTGTAGGATGAGAACCAAAGTTTCTTTCCAGGAGATTGAAGTAATTACTGCATGCACCTTAATCTCGATCATCAAATCATGTGGGTATTATATGGTGGCCACACTACTCAATGGGTGAGATGGAGTTAGTTCACATAATCTGGGTCCATATAATTTTTTTTCATATATGCATTATACGGACCGCTCTACACTCCGGTTTATACGTAATTCCATCCAGATAGTTGTTTCCTCGACACAATTGATCGTAAGATTATTAGTTCATCTTGGCGCAAAGATGGCATATGGAAGGACCAAGTCAAATTAGGATTGGGTCACCATTGGAATTGGACCAGATCGACTTAATTAACTCATGTTGACCTGTCTAGTTCATGCCCTATGATGCAATTATTCAAGTCCGATCCAATTCAGGCTCAACCCAAATCTAGCCGGAAAACTACATTTTTAGAGGACATTGTTTAAGCCACCTTGCCACCACCGCCATGTGGCTTTCATACTTACTGAATCCCACTTGACGTAGGCAAAAAGTTTGATTTCTTCCCATAAAAATGCACTAAACTTTCAATTTTTGCAATTGATGCACCTACCTAGAATCCGACCAATTTTTTGACGAATTGTTGATGGACCGGACACATGGACAGGTGTCATGTCATCAACACGGTGGTGCTATGTCAGCATTTTATATGAGAAGTGGGTGTATTTTGGTCAAAGTAGACGGATTTGAAATTTTAATGGATTGAGTGAAAGTACCAAAGTTTAGTGACCTGATTGCAAATACCATCTAAATTCATTAACTACAGACGAAACCGATGTCCAAACGTTGTCCCTACCACCCGTCGCTGCCATCCTCCCCAATCACCGTCATGCTTCGTGTCCTTCGTCGATGGAGGAGGCCTTGGAGATTTTGGTCTCCTCTGTGGGAGGGAGGAGCAGGAGGATTTGGAGATTCAGTCTCCTTCACTGGCCATTTCTGCCCTCGACGAAGGAGACGAGCAATAATATTCTCCTTTTCCAACATGGATCTTGGTTCTTCCATTGTGGAGAAGATGAGATCCCGCCGCTACCTAATTTGAGGCACAAGCTAAACTTGACAACGAGAGAGAGATGGGGCTTTAGTGGGCATATTTTTTTAATATAGAAAAGAATACGCAATATACATTTATCACATGTTGATGTTTTAATGGAGTGCTTATGCAAAGATGAGTAACTGTAGACCTACTCAAATCTGAGGCACAAGCCAGACTCGGCAACCACAAGGGAGAGAGACACGGGGCTTTAGTGGGCATATTTTCTAATATTGAAAAGAATACGCAGTATACATTTATTGCTTGTCGATGTTTTAATGAAGTGCTTATGCAAAGATGGTATAAGCACATCGACTAATTCGTAAATAAGGTAAGAAGGGAACAAATGTCGTATAAGTCAATCATATTGTGAAAATGTGTGCGTTCCAATCATTTGGAGGATTGAAATAAGGTAAGAAGGGAACAAATGTTGTTCGAACTCACTCGTCAGGGCCTGATCATTTGGAGGATTGAAAGTTAGTATTTTATCAATCACATGCCTTTCTAGGTGAGGTCCTTTAAATCTTCTACCAAATTTAATCCGTCTAAATACTTACCGGTCAAGTTTACGAAATAGATAAAAAGTAAGTTAAAACTCGAATAAATGACCCAAATATGAAAAAATTTACATCGATGGCGTCATATACCTAATTCGTCCATGGTACGTATTTGTTTTCAATTACTAAATTAATCTTGTCATCTGTGAGCTTTCTGTGATACCTACAGATGTGACATGGTAAGCCGATCCTGATTTTTCAACAATGTGATTCTGTTTAAGCTTTGTAGTCTCAGATAGCTAATCGTTCTTAATCTTTTATGATGTTTGACGTAATTTTGATGATCTTTCGACTCCCACACGATATCTCAGTTCATAAAAAGGATACATGTTCGATAGTAAAAAAATGTTATGAGTTCATTAGAAGTCTTGAAACTTATCAAGAAAGTGCAATTGAGTCTTAAAACTTTCAAAAAGTGCAATTAAGTCCTAAAAATTGTCATAGAAGTGCCATCGAGTCCTCAAGCTTTCAAAAAGTGCAATCAAATCCTAAAACTTTTCATAAAAGTGCAATCGAGTATTAAAACTTTCAAAAAGTGCAATCAACACAAGGATTTGATTGGACTAGTTTAACAAGTTTTAAGACATAATTGACTTTTTGAAAGTTTAGAACTCAATTGCACTTGTTTTAGGACTTCCAATATACTTATCTCTAAAATTATTAGCACGCATAAAAATATGTATCAAATTATGATGAACTAAAATTTAGGTAATCCTTGAGGTGATCATATGCTAAACAGCTTATTGGGTCCAGCCAAGCATGGTCGGCCTGAAAGGCAAAATGAGTGGATCTAGTATATAATTTCTCTTTTGATTCTTACACACTTACGGCGCAAATGATAACCATTTTGTTTCCCTTTTTTATTTTTTTTGTTTCCTGGAACAGGTTTAGAACAGAAATTCGTTTGGTAAAATAATTTTATTTTTTTTATTTCTAGGATAAATTTTGGCCAAGAAATAGATTTGGAACAGAAATAAGAAATTAAAATTTTTACTGTTCCAGAAATAGAACTAACAAGTCTCTTTTATTGCTCACCCTTGTCGCCCACCGCCGCTTACTCGCCGCTGGACACTGCCCGCCGCCACATGGTCGTCTGCTGGGTTCAGACTCGATTAATTCATATAGAATACTTAATATATTTTTTCAATCACAAGAGGACCTAAGCAAGATTTAGTTCAAGTACTTGGCTCCATCGTCTGGCAAGTTGACTTGGTCATTGGGCATGCCTAGGCGGGATCGGGCCGGTTCCGCTCGCCAAGGCTTGAACTTGCAGGCACGAGCCTACCCAAGGGAAACATTGGGGGCCGGGCCCACTCATTGGGCCACGTTTTTATTTTTAAAAGTTTCAACTAAAAAATTTAAAGAAGTATGATAAATATATGATAAATAATTTTGGGGTTTTGTGTTATTTTATTTTACTACTTTATCTATGAGTTTTATGCTATTTTTCTATCCTACATTAGAAAGTTGAGCTTATTTTATCCTGTTAGAGTTTATAAAGTTTAAATGTCAAAGAAAAAGTTGTCAATAAAACCTAATTTTTTTAATTGTATATTAATAAATATATAGATGCGCCGAGCCTTAAGGCCCTTACCCAGGCGTAGCTTGCCCACTAACCTGACCTAAAGTTTTTGCTGGGCTAAAAAATAATGGGTAGGCTCGCGAGTTGCCTACCCATTGATCATGTCTACTAATAATCATCTTACATATAAATTTACACAAATATTGATATTTTTTTATGTTAATGTATGAAAGGTGATATTTTTCCTAATACTCTTTATTTTTCAATGGATAACACAAGAAGTAAAAGCAATTCAGTAGTTAGATATTGATTAGGACATTTTTCTTACAGTCTTATTTAGCGGCAAAAGGATATCATATGTATCATAATTTTTGTACGGCGCTCGTTTGAATGCCATAACTTTATTTTTGATCGCTTGAGTGTAATAACTTATGTATGGCTCTCACTTGAGGGCCATAACTTTTTTTTGATCCCTTAAGTGCCACATAAATTTTCAATCGATCTCTTACGTGCCATGACTTTTTAAAAATGTTCACCACAAGAGCCATGCCACTCGACACTTGGGTAAACGTTTTTAAAATGCTATGGCACTTAAATGATTAATTAAAAGTTATGATACTCAAGTGAGCATTTTTGAAAGTTATGGCACTCAAGTGATAAAAAAAAAAAAATTTGAGCGTTATAAGAAAGTTATGACACTTGTAGTGACCTTACACCTTTATTGAGCTCATAACTAAATATGCAAGGGTCTTGAATTATAGCAAAGTTGAGGTAAAATATGATAATTCGTATATACTATCCCTGGCACAGGTGGAGTTGCTGGGACACACGGCCATTGATGGGTTGGTGTCTCAATGCAATTGCAACTCCATTTTAGAGAGCTCGTGGCACGGAGTGCCGATCGTGACGTGGCCCATATACGCGGAGCAGCAGCTGAACACTTTCACGATGGTGAAGAAACTGGGCTTAGTGGAGGAGCTAAGGCTAGACTATAAGGGGCACGCCGTTGGTGGCCATCTCATGCCGGCGGACGCTTGATGGGCGGCGGCGCCGTAGCGACGAGGAAGAAGGTGAAGGAAATGAGGGAGGCAGCGAGGAACGCGGCGAAGAAAGGTGGGTCTTCATATGATTCTATTGGAAGGTTGATTCAAGACTTCATCATGAACATTGAATAAAAAGCTCAACAAAGAGTTAGCATTTGTCTTCAATTGTAAACATCAGGCATATGTCACTTTGATCTCGCTCTGTCCTTTATTCTTGCCAGCAATGAGTCCTGCTCCTTTGTTCAACGAACATGCTTACTAATTTGTCTGAAGTTTATGAAATTACCATTCGAGTTGGCGGGTGGTGGGCATTGGACTTTCTTCTAATCTCGTATCGCTCACTAGAAGAGTGAATTTTTAGCAAGTCATTGCATTTGTTTTGCTCGGTAACCATGATGACGGAGCTGTAACTTACTGATAATTTACTCAGACAAATGAGTTATGAGCTTCTCATGACCAGACTAATGATCTGGTGAGCTTTATTTTAATTGATCGGATACAAGCGGGACTCCTAATACATCAGTCCCTCTGCTTCTAAGTAGATGAATTTGCACTTAGTGATTCCTTTATTAAATTCCTTCTGAGGGGATGGATGACTTATGATGCATTGGATGATACATCGAAATCAACCCGACAAAAGAACCAGTATGACGTTATTTATCTCCTGAAGCAAGCTATTCTATAGTTGAAATAGAAAGGCATTTATTTGGCTTAAGGATATAGAGATAGCAAATTCTTTGCCTGTCACAAATACATGCAGCAGTAGAGTTGCATTTTGGGTTTACATTCACAGTTCACACTGGAAAAAACTGAAAAGAAATTAAAATTGCAACAGGAGAAGTTAAATCCTCTTCCAAATCTCACGTGCCATGCCTGAAAAACTTCTCTTTGACAGCACATAACTTGGATAATGCATTCGTCATGTCCATACGCTCAATCGGAAGTTTCGCCGAGCAGAGAACTCCAATTCTCATTATGTCAGCAATGTTTTTCCTCAAATCTTACCATGTCAGCATCACTAATTTGGCCATCGCCGATCCGTACAAGATACTCTGTAGATAGCACTGAAGGGTCTAGGATCTTCACCAAGCTTTTGTGCAGAGCAGCCTCGACGAATTCATGGAGGGTCCATCCATCCTTGAACATAACATCAGTAGGTCTTATTCCGGTGAACATCTCGAGCAACAGTATCCCAAAGCTGTACACATCTCCCTGCAACGATGAAGTACCACCAAGGCCATATTCTAGAAAGCAACATTGGCTTTGTCATGTTAGATGGGGCTCTGGAATTGCATTTTCTTCACCAAAATTCAACATTTTGAATAAGCTATTAAATTGGACCCATATGATTAGAAAGCAGAAGGATTAACATACCTGGAGCTACATAGCCAATGGTTCCTTTTAATCCACTGGAGCTTGCTGGACATTGAGAAGCATCTAGGTTTGTGCTTCCACGAAGAAATCGCGCTAGCCCGAAATCACACACTCGAGCTACCATGTCGTGATCAAGAAGAACGTTGCTTGGCTTTAGATCGCCGTGTATGATGCTCGTCTGGCAATGGTGGTGAAGATATTCAATAGCAGAAGCCACATCAATGGCAATGTCTAACCTCTGGCTGAGACTGAGTTTTGGCATATCGAGCTGATTTTCGCTGGGGTGCAACCACTGTTCTAAACTACCATTTCGCATTAGGTCGTAGACTAGAGCCTTAAAGTCTGCGCCGGTGAAATCGATGCTTGAGCAAACAGTGATGATGTTAACAAGATTTCGGTGGCGTATATTTCTTAGTGCTTCACATTCTGCCAAGAAGCTCTTAAAAGCACCCTTTTGTTTTAGGTTGAGCACTTTCACTGCCACTGGTCGATTTCCATCTAGCATTCCTCTATACACGGAGCCATGACTCCCTTGGCCAATCAAATTAGATGGCGAGAACTCATCGGTCACTTGGTGGAGCTTTGCATAGGAAACCTTTTGGAAGCGCTCATCTATTGGCAATGCAACACTAGGTCTTGTCGTAGATTTCTTCCTCTGGTACACAACAACAATGAAGCATGTCAACACTATCAAAAACGAGATAGTTACTGTGATAGTTAATTTCAGTTCTGGATGCTTTCTCTGTTTCTTCGCGTCACGGACTTTGCATGTGGGAAGTCCAAGTTCCTTGATGCCCCCACATAGTTCTTCGTTTCCGATGATCGATATGCGCTTTGTATCTCTGAAAATCCCCTCCTGTGGTACCTCTCCTTCAAGGTTGTTGATGGACAGATCCAATACTTCGAGCACAGTGAAATTCTCGAAATAAATGGGAATTTGACCGGACAATCTGTTTCTTGAGAGATTAAGATACTAAAGACCAATTAGGGTCCGTAGAGAAGGTGGTATACTTCCTTCAAATAAATTGCCTGCCATATTTAAGCTTAGCAACATCAGACACTGGGACAAAGTGCTTGGTATTTCTCCGGTCAGCCTGTTGTCAGAGAGGTCGACATGCACAATTTTGCTTATGTTACCCACTTCAAGAGGTAATGGCCCCGTTAAGGAATTTCGAGCTACTCCAAAATAGAGGGACAAAGAAGAAAGACCGATGACCTCATTGGGTATTGTACCGTTAAGGTTGTTATCTGAAAGTGTTAGTAATTGCAATTGTCGACACCATCCAAGGCTTGGAGGAATGTCACCTTCTAATTGATTTTTTTGAAGCTCCAGGTGAAGCAATTGGGTGATGTTTCCAAGAGAGGAAGGAATTGCCCTTGAAATCCTATTGCGCCATAGGTAAAGATACTTCAAATTTTGGAGCTTACCGATGCCATGGGGAATCTCACCGCTGATGCTGTTGTTGTATATCGCCAAGATCTGAAGGCCATTCAGCTTCTCGATTTCTGGAGGGATATTTCCTGTGATCAGGTTTGATCCCAGGAGTAAGACCTGAAGCGTATTCGTCAAATTGGCAACGGAAGCAGGTATTTCTCCTCTGAATTTGTTGTGGCCGAAATCTAACGCTTTCAGTTTAGTGCAGTTGGTAAAATCAGTGAGGAAACTTAAGCCGTCAGGTCCTGATTGTAATTGGTTATTGCCAAAACCAATTCTTGTAAGATTCCTCAAGTTTCCAAGATTGGCAAGCACATTCCCCGAAAAGCTATTAGAAGTGAGAATAAGCTCTTCAAGTCCAGTAGCGTTAGGCAGCGAATGCGGCACTTGCCCTGAAAATCGATTTTCTGAGAGGTAAAGCCGCTGGAGATGTGGAAAATAGTTGCCAATTTCTGGTGGGATTTCACCATGTAGGCTGTTACCCCCTACGGAAAGGGAGACAAGTGATGTAAGATTGTATACCGAAAAGGGGATGTGTCCTATTAGATTATTATAATGTAAAGTCAGGTTTTCTAATTTTGAGATCCTTCCGAGCTCGGCCGGTATTCGACCTCTTAGGTCATTTTGCCCCAAATCTAAGTCTGTAAGTGAAGATCCATTCCCCAACCAACTTGGAATTCCCCCAGTAAGATCGTTCACTGAGACCCCAAAAACAGCGAGCTTTCTCTCAACTAAATTCCGAAGCTCGTCAGGTATCCTCCCGCTGAGCCGATTGTATTGCAAATAGAGGTATTGCATACCTACGCAAGATGACAAATTCCGTGGTATCTCCCCTCTGAGTTCATTGTTGAAGAGGACGAGCATCTTCAGTCTGAACAACTTCCCCAACTCTTATGGAATGTTGCCTCGAAGCCGATTCGCTTCTAGATCAATACGCCTCAAGAAGGTGAGATTCCCGATGTCAGGAGATATTGTGCCAAGGGGCTTTTGATTCAACAAGTCGAGGGCGATGACTCTTCCCGCATGGCGGCGACTGCAAGAAACTCCTGGCCAGTTGTAGTGACTAACAGACTTGTTCCAAGAACTCGTGATATCTTGAAAATCTTCAATCACCTTGTCCTTGAAGGCGAGCAATGCCTCCCTGTCTGTTTCATTTCCAGGATGGGAAGTATAGGCAATACAAGTGTTGGAGTGAGTTTGATGTATGAAGAGAATGAGGCTGACAAAAGCTGATACTAAATTCATTCTCAAGTTTGGCACGGTTGCTTCCATACTTGATCTGTTAAGACAGAGCAAGCAGAAAGACCAGATGATGGTGTTCTTAAGTTCTCCCAGTCAACTAGAAGCATAAGATAAGTTCGACTTAGGTTAAACGTCTTTGAATTAATGCATCCAAAGACCACAATATAGTCCACCAAAAAACTTGACTTTTGTTTATAATAAGTTAAACTTAGGTTAACGTCGTACAATATTATTAGTTACGGCCCAAGACCAAGTTGAAGCGTACGCAATTTCCGAAGATTTTCAAGGGCGTCTAGACGAGCAAAATACCAAAAGGCGAGCTCTAAACAAGAGTTTGCGCAACATTTGATAAAAATGCTATAACTTTTTATCTTAGAGTAGTTAGAGATACTGTAATACCAACTTGAAAAACTACCTTAGAGTGCAAGGTTGTTTTTTTCGTTTCTTTTCTTTTGCCATTTTTTACCGCCTTAAAATCGTTCGTTTTCAGACGACTTTTATATTTTTAGGCCTATTTTCTGCATTCATTTTAACCCTTTTACTTTTTTGGTTATTGTCAGATTTCCTTGTCTACTTAGAGTAAATTTTCAAGAATTCCCAGGATTTTGATACTCTTTATTTTTTGTTAACTATACAATTTCATTTTGGTGTTTTAGACTTCATTTATTTTGCAAAAAATGTGACATTTGTAAAAATGTTTGACAGGAAGTCATTGAAAATGATAATATTTTCCGATATTTAGTTGAAACATGAAAATGAAATGAAAAAATATTTTCTGTCGTTTGGTTAAGAAAATCTGATTAGATTTTACTAAAGATACATACTTATTCGGGCACTAGTGATTTGCACATGGGCAACCAAGAAATCGAGTACGAGCACTAGGGCCATAGGTTGAGCCTTGATAGACCCTGACTCGGGCACGGATACCTGGGTCCCAAGCACGAGCACGGGCATCGATCCTTGGTTTGGTCTCAATGGACCCGAGCGTTAGGCCCGACCTCAGTGGAACCCAGTGCAGTTAGTGGGGACCCGAGCATTGGCAATAGAGTCCTCGGCCAGATCTCGATGGACCCAGGCTTGGCCTTGATGGATAGTGTCGGGGTGTGGTTTATACTTCCATCAATAGGAAGGCACGACTCCCGCGACGCTAGAAAGTTTTTATAGTTTGGATCCGTATTTTATTGGTAGTTTGGGCTTGGCCCATAAATAGCTATTGTGCCTATATATAATCACTTTCTCATATTATTAAGAGTTGTATCAAAGAGATGAGATGTGTTAATTATAGTAGAATCATTTGATGGATGTAGCCCTAGTTTAAGGGTGAATCGGGATAAACTTTATACCTCGATTTCTCTTTCTCGCCTTTTACTCTCTATTTCGTTGGTTTATGCGCATAATCCTAACAAACAGAGGTGTGGGCACCGAGGTCCCAAGCTCGACCTCATGGACCCAGGCATGGGCGCTGAGGACTCGGGACCTAGCCTCAATGCACTCGATCCTGAGTGTGGGGGCACGAGCATGGGCATTAGGTACTCGACCTGGACATTAATAGACCTGGCCCTGGCACCGAGGTCCCGAGCTTGACCTCGATGGACATGGGCATGGCCTCGATGGATACAGGCCCGAGCACTAGCACCGAGGTCACGGGCCCGGCCTTGATGGACTCGGTCCCAAGCGCGTGGTCTTGGGCCCAGGCGCTATGGACCTGAGCTCAGCTCTCAATGGACCGGTGCTTGGGTACTAGAGACTCGAGCACAAGCACCGAGGTCTCGGGCTTGGCTTTGGTGGACCCAAGCTGTGGCACCGGGCAACGGTACCGAAGTCCTAGGCCCAGACACCGGCGCTAGTGTCCCGACCCAACCTTTGTGGACCTGGTCCTGAGTATCGAGGTTCCAAACCCGGCCTCTTTGGATTCGGGCTTGGCCTTGATGGACCCTGATGGACTAGACCTTGGCTTCTAGACTTGGGTCCGCTGCCAAGGGCCTGGGAACAAGTGTTGGGGTTCCCGTGCCTAAATACAGGGTTCCTGGTCCAAGCATCAATATCTAATCATATTTTGAAAAATGATTTCTGATTTTTTAAAGAGGAAATTATTTTCTTGAATTTAAGTATAGATTTTCTATTAACTCATTTTTCTAAGCGATCTAAATGCCGGAAAAACAGAAAAATATTCTCTCTAAAATTGTATTCCGCGAAATATACGGAACCTTAGTTCCTTTTAATCTTACTTCAAGGTTAAACAAAGTATTGCTTCATATTTCTTTTAAACGGACCGTCACTGAGCTCCTCCCCCTCCCCCCACCTTATAGGTTTCTAATGTTACATCAAAGAATTGAATTTTCAATGAAAAAAAATTAACGCAAGATCTTCTTCGCATCAAGTTTGCGCCTTTCTAAATCTGTCTCTTTGAAATCACAAATGAAAATTTTCTACTTATAAGGGTGCTTTAGCAAAAAATAATTGATTTAAAAAATATTTTCCTAAAAATGATCCTTTATATTGCTTGAAAAATTAATCAATGAAAAAAAAATTCACTATTGATAATAATTTATGCCTAAACAATTTCGTGGACGATAAAAATATTTTTTATTCGTTCATTTTTGTAAGCGATATAAGCGATCATTTTTAAAAAAATATTTTTCAAATTATTTATTTTTCGCGAAACAAATGGAACCTACGCTGAATCTTACTAAATAATAGTGGAAAAAAACGCCTTGGAGTTTTAGAACATTTGACTCCCCAAAGAAAAATGTGAATTTAATATGTTGCAATCTTAGACTTTCTACACCTTAGTTGGAATTCTTTTATGCAGTGTTCGACCCTCTATCCTTTTCTAACGGCAATGAGAAAACCTGATCTTCATTGGACAGCATCAGCATACTCTGCCGTAGTAAATGGTGGAAAAGTTGTCGAGCCCAATCATACGGTTGACATCAACTCGGACAATCCAATGGACAACGATTCATAGTCCATCAATAGGAAAATGACACAAATGGGTTTTGAGCTTTGGCCTAATGCATAATGTGATCTCCGAACTTTTAATTTATTCAATATGATCCCTAAACTTTAGCCTAATGTTCAATGTGATCCCTGAACTTTTAATTTGTTTAATATAGTCCCTAAACTTTTGATGTGTCCAATTTAGTCCCTAGATAATATATGAAAATGTTTAATATTATTTTTTATCTTGAATTAATAGAAGGACAATATTGAACATTTTTATATAGTTCAGAGAATACATTGAACATGTACCAAAAGTCTAACGATCACATTGAACAAATTAAAAATTCAAGGACTACATTACACATTGAACCAAAATTTAGGGATCATGTATGTCATTATCCCCCAATCAATTGATAGGCTGATAAATTGATTAGACAATTTTTCCATGTGAAAGGCTAAGGCTCGTGGCACTGTGGAAAGAAACGGAAATTGGCCCAAGTTCAAAGCAATGAGCAAATTTTCAATGATTTTGTTTTGAAACGTTGCTCGACCGTTAAAACTAAGTTATGCTTGCGCCTAATATAGAGGAGGGATTGGAAATGTTTTTTGAGAACGATAAAGAAGAGGAGCGTAGACGATTAAACTTTTTTATCTAAAGTTTGATCAAAGTTGAACGTGAATCGGGTTGTACTCGTCAAATGATTTTCAATGATACCGAATTTGCCCAAATCAAAAAGCTGGATCTCAAGATATCGTAACTTTCAACGACAATCATCCAATCGTGAAGTATCGGAAATATTGATATTTCGCCCTATCTCAAGATTGTATTTGGGATGCAAAGATCAATTAAGAAATTTTATAAATAGAGTGATACGAGATACTTTTATAACGTATTTGAGTGTGAACTATTTATGTAACTATCTTATAATTATCCGAAATAACTTTTAGAATTGATTACGAAGATTATTTTTTACATTCCCAACATTACTTGGAAAAACGGAAATGGGAGGTGACGATGAGAAGACCAAACAACTAAAAACATTCTCCTCGGCAAGTCGACCTTGATGGACGAACGGACAAAAGAAAACCCCGATTCGCCGATTAACGTTGAAGAAAAACATCGGGGGCCGGGCCCACTCATTGGGCCACGTTTTTATTTTTTAAAGTTTCAACTAAAAAATTTAAAGAAGTATGAAAAATATATGATAAATAATTTTGGGGTTTTGTGTTATTTTATTTTACTACTTTATCTATGAGTTTTATACTATTTTTCTATCCTAAATTAGAAATGTGAGCTTATTTTATCCTGTTCGAGTTTATAAAGTTTAAATGTTAAAGAAAAAGTTATTAATAAAACCTAATTTTTTTAATTTTATATTAATAAATATATAGATGCACCGAGCCTTAAGGCCCTTATCCAGGCGTAACTTGCCCACTAACCTGACCTACAGTTTTTGCTAGGCTAAAAAACAATGGGCAGGCTCGCGAGTTGCCCACCCATTGATCAAGTCTACTAATAATCAACTTACATGTAAATATACACTAATATTGATATTATTTGATGTTAATGTATGAAAGGTGATATTGATTCCAAATTGATTTGTGAATTGTAAAGGATGTTGTTGTGAGTTTGTATTACTGCTCAATATCGTTGTGAGCCCATTGAGGGGTTTGTGGGTATGCGCATACTAGTTTAGGATATCCTTGTGGGCTAGCCAACAGCAATATAGGTGGAGACCTTGCTAAGGGGGGAGCTTAGTCGCCTTGCCACGAGGCGTTATGCGTGACCATGGTTAAATATTTTAGCACGAGTTTGGTCGATGGATGGACCACTGACATGTGATTTGAAATTAGTTGATATAATGGACTATCGACATGTGAAATTGATGATATTGATTAATGGACTGGACCATTGATGCTTGATTTGATATTGTTGATTTAAATGAGTATTTCCGATATGTAAAAAAGTTTTGTTGAAAAGTACCCACTCTTATCTTGTACATGTATTATATATTGGATTTGAGACAAGTGAGTTTTGATATTGTTTTTGTAAAGGTGCGTAGTGAATGTTTGATCCGCTTAAAAGA